TCAGTTTTATGTGTTAAGTTCTTAGAAAAGCATACTAAACTTTCAGTATATTAAATATTATGTTTTTAAAAGTTTTAAAACATAAGCATCAAAGCATTACATATTAGGCTAAGTTGCTTGTTTCATCATCCCCTTGCAATAATTTCTACTACTCTTAGTAAAAAATCTAACCTGAAATCCATGTGTGATGTTTAATATTGAGTGTCAACTTGATTGGATTGAAGTATGTAATGTATTGTTCCTAGGTGTGTATGTGAGGATGTTGCCAAAGGAGATTAACATTTGAGTCAGTGGACTGGGAAAGGCAGACCCACCCTCAGTCTGGGTGGGCATAATCTAATCAGCTGCCAGTGCAGCTAGGAAAAAAGCAGGCAGAGGAACATGGAAGGACTAGACTGGCTGCGTCTTCTGGCCTCCATCTTTCTCCCATGCTGGATACTTGCTGCCCTTGAACATTGGACTCCAAGTTCTTTACCTTTTGGACTCCTGGACTTACACCAGTGGTCTTCCAGGGGCTCTCAGGCCTTCAGCCACAGAATAAAGGCTGCATTTGGCTTCCCTGCTTTTGAGGTTTTGATAGACTTGGACTGTCTTCCCAGCTCCTTATCTTGCAGATGGCCTATTGCAGGACTTCACCTTGTGATCGTGTGAGTCAATACTCCTTAATAAACTACCTTTCATATATACATCTATCCTATTAGTCCTGTACCTCTAGAGAACCCTGACACACTGTGACTTCCATTGTTGCATAATCTGGACCAAACTTACCTTTCTAATTTCATCTCCTCTCCGTCCCTCTGGGGCCTCTTCTTCAGCTCTGCAGGATTTTTTGCTTTCTTTGAACATTCTAAACTCACTCCCATTCCATCAGGATATGTTGGGCTATGTGTAGTAATACATAACTCCTCAAATCTCAAACACTTAAAACAGAAAAGTTTTTCCGTCTCAGTTCCATCATTTTTATTAAGGGAGCCAAGGGTAAGAGGGACTCACTATTTGGAACAGAAATTATTGTTCTAAAGGGAATTATTATTCTAAAGGGGAAAAAGATACTGTAAATTGTCAAGCCAACAAGTAAATACTTCAGCCCAGAAGTGACACACATAGCTTCCGTTCATAATCATTGACCAGAAATAAGCACATGGCCCACCACAACACAATGGGGCCAGAAAATAGAAAACAATCCTATGAATCTCAAAGGAGGGAGAAGCAGAAATATTTAGCAAAAAGCATGAATCATTCATTACCCTATCAATTTTTGACTTGCTACTGAGAGTTTGGGGAATGCTCTTTCCTCTGAAAGTCAGATGACTCACTCTTTTGCTTCATTCTGGTCTTTGTCAAAATCCTTAGAAAGGTCATTCCTGCTGTTATTTTTGTTCTTCACTTGTCTCTACCTGAGATTATATCATATTGTTATTTTTTGCTTGTTTTACACACACACAAGTGCATTATTTTTAATATATACAATATTATATTTTCAGTCCTGTTCATTGATTCATTGATATATCCCCAGTGACTAAAAGAGTATTTGGAGCTCAGCAGACAATGAACAAATATTTTCTGAATGAGTGATTATATATATTAGATTGATGCATACATGTTTAGAACGTGTATCTCTAATTCTATATCTATATGGTGAAATGCCAGTTCATATATATGTTGCAAAGAGGCAAATTTTATACCACATTTTAACTACAAAAAGAAAATTAATTTCTGGGGGTTTAGAAAACCATTCAGTTCTTCCTCATGAGACTCCCTCTGCTGGTTTTCTTGGAGCCAGGCCAAGATGAAACTCAGTAACTCAGTTTTAAAATGATTCAAAGCTAGAAAATCAAGAGATCTTTTAAATATTAACTTGCTTTCTTTAGGATAGCTGTTTTGGCTTTTATATTCCTCTCCCCTCCATTCTCTGTTCCAATATGGCATTTGGATTTATAGGGAGAGGTCTGGTCTGTGTAAGGAAGTAGATGGGAGCCTGGGTCCTTAAATCTTCCCAATGTTCACTTACTCCTCCCTGACCTCAACTGTAGAGTGGATAAACTGGTATGCTTTCTTCAATAGTGTGCACTTAAGTAGATCTAATTTCGGTCTATTTGGTCTTAATGTGCTAATACCAGAGACCTGTCTCCTATCATTTGCTTCTTTGATTCCCTTCTCATCCTGACAATTGCATGTGTCATTGAAAATGTTTGCATACAATATCCCTCTATCTCTCCTAGTGACTTAGTTCCTCAGTCCTGCAGGAGCTAATGCTACTAACCTGTCAGATTCAGGCTCCTTATCTATTTACATGTTTCTAGACCACACCCTTTCTCCTGAGGTACAGGGTGAGGACATCAAGCACCCTTAAATCTATCTCTCCACCTTTTTTATTTATTTATTTTTTTTTTTTTTAGATGGAGTCTTGCTCTGTCACCTAGGCTGGAATGCAGTGGTGCGATCTCAGCTTACTGCAAGCTCAGCCTCCTGGATTCATGCCATTCTCTCGCCTTAGCCTCTTGAGTAGCTGGGACTACAGGCACCTGCCACCACATCTGGCTAATTTTTTTTGTATTTTTAGTAGAGACAGGGTTTCACCATGTTAGCCAAGATGGTCTCGATCTCCTGACCTGTGATTCGCCCACCTCGGCCTCCCAAAGTGCTGGGATTACAGGCATGAGCCACCACACCAGGCCCCAACTATTTTTTACCCTCCATAATGTCTCTAGAATAGGTTGAGTCTTTTCTTCCTTAAGACATGCCTTCCCATGAGGCCATAAGTCTCATGACATAGTTATCATGATGGAGAATGTATGCTATGGAAGAAATTCTACTGTATGCATCCTCTTGTCATCGTTTTTTTATTGGGAAGCTTTTGATTGGGAAGCCAACCAAAAAACTGGAGCTAGAGATTAACAGATTGGTTTGTTCAGATTTTCTATTTCTTCGTGTTTTGAAGCAATATTCAAAGCATTACTAGACTGCCAATAGTCTGGCTATGTATTAAAAACCTGCACTGGTGATTCTGAGATGCTTGACCTTTACCTTATTCATTAATTTATGAAAGATGATTCACCTCCTTTCCAAAATAGAGTCAGCTTGGGAAATGTTATTGGAAAGCTGGATATCACAGGGATCTTCCAACTAAAAAATGTTTGTAAAGACATTTTTTGTTTATTTTGGCTTTTCAGTGAAACAGGAAAAAAATAACAAGGCACTAGGTATTATGTAAATAGGTCCCTTAGCTAAAATGATTGCAGGAAAAAGTGAGCATGAGTAACATTAAAGCCAAATTATCCTTGAAATCTATGTCACCATGAAAAATGCATGTAGCAGAAAAGTAACCAACTCATCAACAGAATTTGTAAAACTATACAAATATATAAATTTATATTATAGAAGATGATAATTTAAAATGCATTTTGCTCTAAGTTCCCAAATGCATTCTGCATGTCAAATAAAATAACTAGAATCAGTACAAGGAGCCTTACAAATACCTAGTCTCCAGTGGCCAACCTGAGGTTGAGAAGTACTGTGTGGACTGAATTTGTTACTACACATCTTTTCTACAGAGGCATTGGCACAACAGATTTTCATGACTCTACCTTCCTTTGTATTAAATATTTAGCCCACCGAGGAGGCGACGAGTGTCATCGATTAATCACAGATAAGACAATTAGGGGTGTTCTTATTCATTTTACTTCAGCAAATTGAGATGTGAAGAGGAGTGAAGAAGCTGGAGGAGACCTATGGTGATTTTAATTGAGAGTCACTGGCAGACACAAAGTGAAAACTTAGTATGTGAGCAGTTGGACAATGTTTGAAAGCAACCCCAAAGCAATTCTCAATCAGCTAACTTTGAAATTTGTAAACAAAGTTCAGTGAAACTATAGAACTACTGTTCTCAACTAGAAGCAATATGAAAAAGACACTCAGAAAGTAACTAACTAGTAGACAGTTACAGAGAAGGTTTTTACTGGTAGAAACAAAAGAATCAATTACTTAAATTATAATTGTTAAACATCATTATAGAGTTTCTAAAACTGTTGGTGTGAGTTATTTTTATCTGTTACCTGGGTGTGCTCCCTTTCTCCAAACACCCACTCATCAATGCATGGGTCAAGATATTTGCTTTAGATATTTCCTTTCTTAAATGTCTCTTTGGTATGCCCCACAAACCACTGTCAATCATTTGCTTTCCTTTTTTCAAAAAAAAAAAAAAAATTCTATCAGGAGAAATGCTTATGTTCATGCTTGTGTTACTCAGAATTTACTACAGTAATCTAATACTGTAGTGAAACTTAAACATTTAAAAGTTTTATGAGTATTCTCAATGAGGCAGCAGGTGAGAAAGAGAAATTGCTTTTGTGGTTACTAAGAGAAACCTTTGGAAACTTATGAAACCCATGATAAACCTATGAAACCCATAATAAAACCTCTGAAACCTATAATAAATAAATGTAGGAAGTCTTGAGTTTATTGTTTCAAAATAAACATAAGCATAAATAATAAAAAACAGCATGGAAACAAGTTTTAGATAGAAATTTATACCTGAGATATGTTAATACTTTTTAACAGTAGAGGCATTTAAAGACGACTAAGAGCCATGCAAGGTAGACAGACATGTAGAATCTTTCTCTTTCTCTGTTTTTCTCCTATCAACTCAAAGTGGGAAGAATGGGAAACAAACTAAGGCTGAGAAATCATAAGCTGAACAAGAGAGTAGTTGAAACAATTTATCTGGTATCCAACCCAGTCTATGACTCATAGAATCCTTTGTGAGTTTTGAAGCAAAGTGAATACTAAACATAAATTAAAAAGAATTCCAATTGAATTTGTGTTAAATGAACTTTTTGGAAGAATTAAGAATTAGTTATGAAAATAAAGTATAGTAAAGTTTATTTTTAAGCCATTTATATAAACTTAAAAGGTGATGCTTTCTTTTAAACCTTCTTTTTTTTTTTTTTGTCCTGGGAAAACTTTCAGAATAAGCAGAAAACAAGGCCAAAGATGCAAAAGAAAAGAAAGGAGAGTTAACTTTTATTGAATGGTCAGATAATGTTCTAAGCCATACAATGTTCATTTATTTAACTAGTGTCTTTCATCTCCAAACCCACCCTTATTTTCTCTGCTTTGTGATGCTGAAGAACAGGAAGCACAGGAGAGAAAGAGTTTCAGGATGAGAGGGAAGAGGGAAGAAAACACCTGATTCTTCCAGTTTTCTCTCTCTTCCTGACAGTGTGGTTTCAGCAAGATACAAGTTGTTTCAGTTTTCACTTTTTTCTGCACTCCCAGAACCAATTGTATTGCGCCCCCTCAGAAGTACCAGCAATAACTGAGCAATGTCTCCCCATCAGGGATCCGAGTCGGGCTGTGTGAAGTGCCTTCTACATCCCTTAGATTTTAACAATGCAAACCTCTTTTCTCTGATTCCGTGGCTCCAAATGTGGTAGCAGTTTTCTGCAGCTACTGTTTCTGTTATTGCTATGCTCCCTTTCCATTTATTCAGTTTCTAACACCTTTCAAAATAATTTCTTACATTAAATTCTCTCTGCTAAAATGACTGACAGGTTTGTTTTCTTTCCTAATTAGCTTCTAAATGATATCACTCTTTACATAAATTGTGTCAATTTTATAAATGAGTAAATGAAAATGAAAATGGGTTCAGTAACTTGCCTAATGTTCCGTGACTGGCAGAAAGTGTAACTAGAGTGTGATTCCAGATCTACACCCCACAGTCTTTGCTAATATTGCAGAAAGAATCAGCGAAATAGGAGAAATGTGAGAAATGTGAGAAACACTGTGAGAAATGCCTGTTGCCAAATATTAAGAATTTTAAAAATAATTTAAGAATAAAGGTGTCAGTATTCTGATTAATCATCTCTCTTTCTCCTTTTGTTTCTTTCTCCATATATCTAAAGATTTGTTCAGCTCCCTTCCAAATCACCATTATGACATAAAAAAGGTTACTTAAAAAAGGTATGAATCTACAAGAAGAAAAGATAATAGCACGTTGGAAGTATTAAGATAATTGTGGAAGTAAGAAAGAAGGTGAACAGGTAGAAATACGCTAAGCAGAGCAGAGAAAGCATAAACCTAAGTCTGCAGTGAGGAGGCCTTAAGGACCATGACTCAGAAATTGGAGATACCAGGTTTCTTTTACAAAGATGGTGCTGAAAGAGCAGGATTTGTTGAAATTCTTGTAAGTAACAGTTAGATCTTCAGAGTCCCCTTACTAAAACTTACAGCTTAATTGTTATATCTTGCTACAAACCAATAAAATGATTACAAATTAGAAGGACGTTCAGAGTTTGGTAAGGCTTATGTCACTGATGGCTTTGATGAGAGAGAAGTTTGGATGGAAGGATGGGAGAAAATTGAAACCTCGATGGGTGTAGGAGTGAGTGATGAAGAGGGACTTAAGAGGAGATAGTGAATAGTTGATGGAACAAGATTTTGGAAGGGATAAGATTTGGAGAAAAGGGACTGGCTGGTGTTCTATAGATTTTTTTTTTTCACAAGTGAAGAAATCAAAGATGGAGGAAGGTATTTGGAAAGGCGTATTGGGAGATATTTCTAGGAATTTTCATAGTCTCCATTTGAGACCACAAGGGTAAGATAAAAGGTTTAGAAAGAGAAATCTAAGTTTGAATTAGCTATACAGGAAATCAAAACAGCAACCTACACGCAACATTTTTCTGCCGTCTGTTATTGTTATTTTAAACAAAGAATGATACCTGAATTCATATAATATAGGTCACAAACTTTGGTCCATGGATCAAACTTAATTTGAAAATATGCTATTAAAAATTTTTGTCAACATTTGGTTACTTAGCTACTTTTATTTTGAAAAATAATCCCATTTAAAAGCTTCTTGAAAGACTGGAGGATTTTACAATACTGACATATATTTTAGAATGCAACCAAGTGGTGGGAAATTTCTCTAGATAGGATAGGTATTCCTTAGCTGGCTTCACTAATTTATGTTTCCTTTCTGACCTGGTAGTCATTTGAGTTTGACACCCCTGCTAAAGTCCCTGTCTCTTGAGTATCACCAAGTCACCTGTGTGAAAGTGAGGTATGATTATTATCTATATTTTTCAGTTTTCAGGAAAGGAATATAAGACATCATAAAAACTCCACCCTGTTACTCTTACTCTTAGGTTCCGAACTTCAGGTGAAGTGAAGTTCCATTTCTAAAATAACTCCTATCTGTACGAATGTTTTCAACAGTTACTCCTGCACCTTCCAGGATCATACAAATTCATTCTCATAAACTCACAGAACAGAGTAAAACCAGCATCTCTCAGGAGTCCCCTCTGGCATCTGTTAAAGATCAAGCCAATCAGTCTAAGATGACCAGCCCTTCCGTATTCAAATCTCTGAAATAGGGTTTGTTTGGTTTGGTATAAATTGATTATAAAATGCCAATCAGGTAAGATGCCATAATGTTTTTATTTGAATAATAGTAATTACAGGATTGTTAGCTTATGCTCATTCTGTTTTCAAGAAATAATTCTTGTATGGTGACTCATTAATTAATCTGTAATAAATTTCCATCAAACTGTTTGATGAACATCAATGTTCTGCGAATCAGTTATCAAGTATGCTGTACAATCATGAGATAAATGTCAATTGAGAAAAATACTACATGTAGTCTTGGAAATTTTTGGCTAGTGAAATCACTTCATTCAAGTGTGATTAAAAGTTGGTCATTAATTTAGAACTAAGAAATAACTATTAAACAGCTTGTATCAGGATAACAAGTTCTTTCTAAACAATACCTCAATTTAATGACAAGAAGTTCTCTTACTATGTAGCTATCTTGGTATTTTTCACGCTATGTATTTCTGCCATGTAGACCTCAGTTTTGGGAGGTGGCATTTTCTTTTCTAATTAAATTACTTCCTTCCTATAAGGAAGCTCATAGGGCTTAGTTTGCTTATGTAGTTTCTCTTCTCTTTTCTTCATAACTTCTTCAAAGTGTTTTTTCTCTGCTAACTTTTTATCTTTAAGTTCTTGGGCCTTGCATATTGCATCTTCTTTTTCTCGTATCTTTAGCTCTTCCTGCCACTGTTACAGAGAGAAAATGTCATTCACATATGATTTTCCATGAAAAAAATGCATATCAATTAAGCTGCTCAAAATGCAGATTCTTATATCCAATTATACTTTTAGTTTTTTCCATGACATTCCTCAAAAATTTTGTATCTACCACACTGGCAAAACATATGTGCCACCTATTAGAATGCATGTAAATCCCACAAAACAGAATTTCCTCAATATATTTAAAGATAAAAAAACCATTAAAAAGAAGACATTATAGGTTTTATATTTCTGTATTCCAAACGGTTTTACTTTCTTCATCAATATTGGTATTTATATGACAGCATGGGTTATAAAATGAAGAACCAGGTGAAAACAAAAGAGAAAGAAAAAAATACAGAAAATACAAATTAAACAGAAAGACAAAAACTCTAATACTACTCTCTATGAAGTTAAAAATGAAATTAATGGTCAGGTAAATGCGTACTATGCAGAAGACCAGTAAAAAATTTCTAAAGAATTTATCTTAATTGGCCATGATAATATTTTCTTTTTCTTTTGCTTTCACTTAGTTTTTCACTTTATAACCCACGATGTCATGTAAATAGTAGTATATCTGAAGGCATGAGCCCTAAGAATGAGTGACAAGTATTGTAAGTAATGATAATCAAACATCATCATGAAATATATATACATATATATATATATATAAAATTAGGAGGAACTTTTTTTCTCTTCTAATACATTTGATGAAGGAAATGATGAAAACAGATGGTAAACACTTTATGCTGGGTAAAACATTCGGGGCAGAATGACTCCTAGTATGAAATATTGGCAATTCCTAAGGATACTGCCAATGCTGTCTTTTTGTCACCCTCAGCTCGTGCATATACACAAATGATCAGTCTGAGATTAGCAACCTATTAATTAATTTATAGATTACTATATATACCAGTACTGTGAATCACAAATAACGTTTGTCATCTGGGATATTCAGATAATAAAAAGCAGAGCTAAATATCAGAGTCCATGACATGTCACTCAGCTTTGACGAATGCAGTAAAATTTTGTAAAATGTTAATATACTCATATTAAACATTAAAAATAAAAGCATAATAATATCAAATCCGTTATTTATTCCCAGTTGAGTTTTAATTACATAAGAAATATAAAAGTTAACTGCACTTATCTTAAGACTGTATTTATAAACAGTTATTACTCATACGTTTGGTTTCTCAGGAACCAGTTTTGCATAAAATATATGGGAAATTAAGGCAAAACCTCCAGAACAGTCAGGCACAGGCTAAAATTCATGCTATGGTTTAGTCTACAAGTTCTATGATACTCAACTATGATATATTATTTTTCTCGTATAATAAACTAATAATCTAGTTGTTTAAGGAAATTACCAATTTATGAGCATAGAAGTTATAGTTGGTATAATAATGACAGTATCCATAAACAAAGAGCACTAATCTATCCTATATGAAAGATTTCAATAGATCTCATTATTTGTTTTTTAAATTGTGAAAAATCAAAAAGAGTTAATTCTTAAGAACTGCCAGTAAGTTAAAATTCTTGGTTTCCCAAACAGCATGTATAAAAGCATCAATACATATAAAAGCAGCCAAGAAGGGGTATCATATCATCACTATCCAGAAGACAGCTCTTCCCTCTTTCTCCCTTCTTAGAATTTGGAATGGCTGAAATTCACCATAACCTCAAAATCCTTCTTTTCATTAGGCTTAGGAAAAAGCATACTTTCTTTTTGTCTCTGGTGACCATGACAACAGTTCGACTTGGGTAAATAATTATATTTTTTGACTTTATATGCCATTATTATTGTCCGTTGTGGTAGCTAGGAGGATGCCAAAAAAAAATAGATATGTTTGAAATCTATGGGAAGTGGAAGCACCATTTACTGCTTTATTCAACTTATTCACTCAGTGATTCAATGATCATGCTATGGAATACTAGCAATGTATAAGGTACCTTAATATCTCCCGAGCAATGAGGTATATTTTCTATTCCCTGCATATGATAACCCCTCAACAAAAGTCTGTTGGCTTAGAAGGATAATTATATCTATAGCTGAGGGGATGTGTTTTTGTTCTTTGTCGATATTGCAGATCCCACCCTCCCACTTCTAATTCTGGTTAGGAATCAGAAGCCAAGAACTTGAGCAGCTATGAAAAAGTGGAAGGGAAAGTAGATTTGGAGTAGGGAAATCTGTTTTTGTGCATAGACTCATTTACTTAAAACATTGAGCAAGTAACTGAATTGTAAGTAAGTTTGTTCTTCTTATTGGTAAATGTTTTACAGGGTTGTAAGCATTAAATTAACTACTGTAAGAGCATTTTGTAAAGCATAAAGTATAAGTACAAAGCACTATTGCTACACCCATCTGAAAAGAAGTGGTATATACATGAATACTGAAAAAAATATAATATTCAGAGACAATTCAATAAACCTTCCAAAATCAGTACTATGAATTACTAGTTTATTAGGCTATCCACACATTAAACAATTTGGATCTGTAAGTTTTCAAGCATATTTTTGAAAAAGATTTATTTATCCTTCTTTAGCTACAATATAAGCAGGCTCATGGCAGTGATTACTTGGATAATGCTTACACCTTGGAAAAAGGAAAAGATAATGCACGGTTGTTAGGAGCTATCTCTGTATCTCTGTCATTCATAATACTCTCTTCTCTTTCTTTAGCCCTAGACAGACCAAAGTAGTTATTTTTACGTGTGTGTGTGTGTGTGTGTGTATGTGATGTTGGCAAATTACTATCTCTTATAATTTCTTCTAGACAATTTAGTTGAAGTAATGAGTAAATTACTTTATAGATGTTGAAAAATATAGATGTTGAAATTTATAAGCCATTTGAAATTTTTGAAGATGACCTGTACATATATTGGTTTAACAAAAACTTTATTAGTGAATAACAGAATATTGCAGCTCTCATTTTGTCATTTCAAGGTATCAGTCAGTCTCCAAAGCCCAGTATTTATAGCTGTTGCTAGAGTCGCTTAATTACTAGTGATGTGGTAAAAACTATTTAATGTGATCAGTAAATAAAATAATCTCTTCACAAGATTACTACTTAAAAGTAGTGTGAAAAACTTAACTGTTAATATAATTGCAATCTGGGAGATAATATTGAACTACTGTTGATAAAATTAAGTGCATTATGTATGCTATATATTTTATTCAAAGAAAAAAAACAGAAAATAAGTATTTTCTCTCATACTTTAATTCTGCTCCTGAAAAGAACTAGGCATAAAATGATGTGTATTTGGTAAGAAATTATCAACTAAATATAGCACAATGAATTGAAGTGTCTTCTGTGAATAGTCTTATATTGCCACTGCTTTTTTAACTCACACTAAGAACAAAGTGATTAACAGTCTTTCTGATCTGTCAAGGGTAAAGAACGGTCACTGAAAATTGAGCCAAAAGATTTTTCTTCCGTTATTAGAACTACACTGTAGAAGAAACCAGTGTTCAGTGTTCAATATAAGATTCTTGTCACAAGAAATCGGTACTAATTCAGAAAACAGGATTAGGCTAGTATTTTACAAATGACAGAAGGTCAAATTTTCTGTGACCCAATGAAGACACTAAGGTGTACAGATAACATAGTGAGATATAATTCAGTTTGGCAAACCAATCATGGCTCTACTTTTAAATTTCACATATTAAGGTTTCAGTTTCAGAACTACATTTTATAACTTAAAGTGCTTTTAAAGAACAAGGCTTTTGCTGCTAGTTAAAAAAAAATCAATCTTACGTGATGGTCAATGATTTTTGCCAACTCTTTATCTGCCCTGGTGAAGAAATCTGGATATGGAAACATGGGAATTTCTGATACAGAAGGATGTTCCCTTCAAAAGAGCACAAGAACAAATCCAACATTAGGTATAGGTACTCCTATTCCCCAGAAATAGAATTGTAAGTCATCATTTATTATTAAGATTTTGATTCTTCATTGTTAACATAAAGTATTTACTTTGTGTAGACTGTGGTATGTTAGCTTTTAGGTTTTGTAAGCCATCTTGGGTCACTAAAACTGATAATTTTGAGGGTCGGACATGACATATAGTATGATTAAAGTGTCCGTCCCTATACGCAGCTCCACAACCATGGAAGTTCTGGTGGAAGCCTAAGCCTAAGAATTTGTTCTAAGATATGCTGAAAAAATGATGTGACTTCAATACATTTCCACAGTCTTTGTATTATTAAGGGTGGAATTTTGGTAGACAGATTAGCATAGTTCAATGAAATTGTTGGTAGTACAAAGCTGGGCCTCAAACTAAGGAAGACTTAGTGTTAAATTATCCACATAATTATTGCATTATTAATGTCATTATGAAGAAATTGTGTGAATCCAGGAACACTTAAAGTAATAAGACGGTGAGAGAAGGTGGTTTTGAGAGTGGGAATGTGGGAGTAAAAGAGAAAGTCTTAGGGAAGAGCCTAAAAAGAGGCAGCCAGTGAGAAATTTCCATATTCAAAAAAATCTAGTCAATTTTTAAGACTAGAACTAATTTATTTCTGGTTTCTGCCTTTCCCAATCCAGTGTACTCTACATTCTTGACACACCACAGTCCCCTCATTTCATCAGGTGTATTTGGTAAGAAATACACCTGTTGGTCTATAGTGCACTAAAGGCTTCTCAAATCCCCACCATCACTTCCCTTGACCAAGCCACCATAATCTCTCACCTGGATGAAGCCTTCATGTTCAGAATTCCCACATCCACCATTCCTTACCCACTTTACTCTTGTCTCTATACAGTAGGCAGAATTGTTTTCAAAACACAAAGTGGATCATGTCAGTCTCCTACATCAAACTGTTCATTATTTCTCCATTCGCTTTAAGATTAAGATTACATTTATTAAGGAAACCTGAAGTAAACTGTGCATTTGTTAAAGTGGTTTTGCCTGGTTTCTCCAGACTTATTTATTTCCTTTACTTGCTTGGGTCTATGTATCCCTAATGCACAGGCTTTCTTGCAGTTGCTGGAATGTATGTTGTTCCATCCCACTGTTGCTTGTTTTCACATGCTGTCATTTCTTTCTCTAATGCCTTTCTCTTTCTCCTTCTTCTACCCCTGCTGCAGGGCTGGTTAATGCCTACTCACCTTTCAGCTCTCAGTTCAAGCTCATTACCATAGCTCTCAATCTACCATGGCTGTTTCCTTCCTTATACTTACTTCAAGTTGTAATTTTACATTTATCATCTCCCTGTGTGAGTTTTCTGTTTTCCTGACTAGAGTATGAGCTACATGATCATGGAGACTTTTGCCTGTTTGCTTACCATTGTTTCCTCAGTGTCCAACACAGTGCCACTAGATATTCAATGAATGTTTGTATGTTTGCTGAATGATTAAATGAATAAATGAAAACTATGATATGCTTTAATACTTTTTATTTTCCAAGCCATCAATAAGAGTCTACCACACAACACTCTTATGTTAGTGGAGTAGTATCCAGTATTGGAAATGGAGGGCAATCTCAGGAGACACGCTGAGAGTAGAGTTGACAGTAGCAGTTCAAAAGGAAACAATGGAAGTTACAGGCAACCAGGAAAAATGGAGCCCTTTCCCAACTTAATAATATTCAGAAACTTTGTGTGGCAGAAAAGCACTGAGCTTCTTAATGCATGCAGAATAGGGCCTTTAGCCATTCTATTAAAGTACTGTATTACAGAAAAATATGCTCCTAGAAAGCTGGAAAATTAGGGGACATGTAGGGGGTGATAACTGGTTTAACTAAATTCATTCCGTGAAATTTGGGCCGTTTTGATATTCAAAGAATTGTGCCAAATGCTAAAAAAAAGATAAATAAAACAGAATCTTAAAATCATTTTAAGGTTAAAAGTGTTCAAGGAAATTGCCTAAAATTTTTTCTTGAACAAGAAGTGTTTAAATTTTTAAAAATGTAGGCAACATAATATCAAAAGACCTTTAACACAGGAAAAATAAATGAATATGCTTATACATCTGTGATTTCTTAGTTACCTCAGTTGAATTTTGTGGTAGAAAATAAAAATTTATAGAGAACATAACGAAAGATAACATGAGACATGAGAGAAGTAAACATTCAGGGATAGAAACAGAAAAAAATATAGCAAAATGTCTAAGCATATGGGCTCTGTACTTAGGCAAATCTCAAAGCAAAGTTTGGTTCTACCACTTAATGTTATTTAATCCCTCTGTTCTTCAGTTTCTTCATCCTTAATATTGAAAAATAATAGCACCTGCCTTATTATGTTTTCACAAGGAATAAGAAGGAATCAGATACAAATCGAACACTAAAGAAGTTTCAGCTGCAATATCTTTATCATCTTCATTGTGAAAAGAATTCAGAGGAAAAAGCCATGGTGTTTAGCTGGTATTATCGATTATAAGAAAAAGGAATGGAGGACTAAACAATTTTGTCAGCATTAAATGAGATGTAGAATTTTGACATTTGAAGTTAAATGAACAGTAGAGAGAAACTTTTAAAGAAAGATGGTATACTAGTTTCCTAGGGCTACTTTAACTAATTACCACAAACTAGGAGGCTTAGATAAACAGAAATTCATTCTCTCATAGTTCTGGAGGAAAAAAAACTTCTAAATCAAAGTGTTAGCAGCCTTGGATACTCCAGAAGCTTTGGGGAAAAATTTATTCCTTGCCACTCTTAGCTTCTAGTGACTGTTGGTTCTTTGGTATTCCTGGGCTTGTAGACACTTCACTTCTGTCTCTGTCTCTATCTCCACATGGCTTTTTCCTTCTGTGACTCTGGGTGTCTTCTACTGTCCTATTTCTTACAATGACATTTAATTTTTTATTTTTAATGTTTTGAGGTACACAGTAGGTGTATATATTTATGGGGTACATGAGATGTTTTGATACAGGCATGCAGTGCATAATAATCATATCATAGAGAATGGGTTATACATACCCTGAAGCATTTATCCCTTGTGTTATAAACAATCCAATTACACTTTTTTAGTTATTTTTAAATGTACAATTAAGTTATTCTTAACTATAGTCACTCCATTGTGCTGTCAAATAGTAGGTCATATTCATTCTTTCGATTGTTTTGTACGCATTAACCATTCCTACCTTTCCCCCCTCCACCTACTTTCCTTCCCAGCCCTGGTAACAATCTTACCCTCTATGTCCATAAGTTCAATTGTTTTGATAGTATAAGGACATGTTTTATAAGAATACTGTCATTGAATTTAAGGTCCACAAGAGCAAGGTAGCCTTAAGATTCCCCTCAGTTTCCCTAAACTTTAGACAGGCCTCTGACCTCCCCTTTCTTAGCACAATATTCACTTTAGAAAACTTTCAATTGTAAATTTTCTGTCTGCCCTTTTGAGATATAAATATTCTCCCATCCTCTTGGTAGTTTTATAACACAGGAATTTCTTTCTCAATGACCTGGAGCTATCTCTTGGAAAGGTATCCTCAAGGAAGATAGCCACCATCTGCCCAGTCTCTGTGGGAGGTCTAGGAGCCTAACTTAGGTAAGTGACAAACAGCAAAAGCATCACATTGACCTAATCACATGAATCAACATACTTTCTAATGTGCTCCAGTATGTTCCCACTAGCTAACCCCAGCACTTACACATCCTCCTCAATTGCAATAGTCTTGGACAAACTCCTCTTTGGCTGTTTAATTTGTCCATTACAACTTTTCTTTGACACACTATAATTCAGGATAATCTCATCTCGAGACCCTTAATTACATCTACAAAAACTGTCTCTCCAAAGAAGGTCACATTTATAGGTACAAGGGGTTAAAACTTAGTCATATCTTTTGGGAAAAACAATTAAACCTGCTACAGATGACAAAATAGGAACAAAGACTCAGGAAAATAAAATAAATAACTCATTTCAGAAAACATATGTAGACTGAGATGGCTGGGACTGAGACTACACTGAAGTGAAGAGGAGGTGACTAATTTATTCATTTGTTCAAACATGTATTTGCAAGAGGATGTTGTTATTAGGAGTGGGAAGAAATAATAAGAAGAAAAATCTTAGATTCTTCTCTCCAGAAACTTGAAGTTCACATGGGGTAAGATATATAAACAGACATTCATGGTATACTGGGAAAATGGCTGCAAAATATGTTTCTTTGGAGTAGAAAGGTGGGGAGCTGGCATCATTTAACTTAGTCTGAGAGTAGGTAAGAGAGATCTACCTGGATGGATTATGCATGATTGTCCCAATAGGATGATTATTAGAGTCATGAAAAGATACCTACAGGACATGTTCAGTTTCTTTAACAGTTCAAGGATGAGAAATATGCAAAGATATTTACAAGAAAAGGGGGGATAATGTATTTCTTTATGCAGAATTATGGTGTTTCAAGTCTCCAAAGCTCTCCTGAAGACATACTGATAAAAAGTGAGCATCCCGTTAGGCAGGAGATATTCCCCAGGAGCAGGAGACATGCATAGGTTTCAGGCCTCTCTATTCCTACATCTCACACTCTGACCTCAGATCTGGCGTGGAAGCATCAATTGAGCAGATAAAATATTGTTTTTATCTCAGGAAAACTACATTAACCATTGGAATTATCCAATGAGGAGAAGATATTTTATCAATTAAACAAACCCTAGAATTCTGTTATTACTTAACAATTGAATGACTTCCCCACTTATCCCACTTTCTGAGGAAAATTGGGTACCATAGACTCATTGGTTGGTGTGGTTTTTCTCAGTATATTTATTCTCCTCTTTGCGATTCATCATAGATTAATGACCTTTCACTGATTTCAAACACAACTTGCTCCAATTAATTGTGTACATTGTCTGGAAGCTTATCTTATTATTTGGCTACCAGAACCTTTTCTTTAGCTAACTTTGTCTTAGTTCTAATT